TCTCGTCGCCCACCGCAGAACCCCCCCCCCCCCCCCCACACACACTGGGATCACGGTCTGATGCTCTCGCTTGGACCACGGTCTGGCACTGGTGCTGAGACCACGGTCTGACGCCCTCGCTTAGACCACGGTCTGGCGCTGGTGCTGGGACCACGGTCTGGCGCCCTCGCTGGAACCACGGTCTGGCGCTAGTGCTGGGACCACGCGCTGATGGCGCGCCGTTAGATGAAGCCGTCGGGAGCACGCGGGGGGGGGGGGGGGAACTCGCGTCTGTAGGGAGGCCGGCCGCCCAGGTACGCGCCCGGACTCAGATGACATTCCATGGTTGCCGTTATGACCGGAAGCTGACCATGGCGGCCGGCTCCGTTACCTTCAGTTGGGTTTCCCTCCAATGGTTGCCAGTCAGGTTCTGTGAGATCTGGGGCGAGTTAGGTGATAACTGATATCAGCATTATCGCCACGCAAATGATATCTAAGCTCGACTGAGTGGAACACGAGGGCGCCGCGTGGGTTCGTTGTCTTTTGACTCCCATTTATATTTCGCTCCAAGCTCCTGGTGTTGTGATGAAGAAAAAAGAGAAAATAACCTGCAGAATGAACTTAATAAAACCGGGTCCCAAAGGAATTTTTTCTGACGTTTCGTCAGCCGCAGCACATTATCAAGGTGAAAGTTCACTTATGATTTGATAGAACCATGGGAATCTGTATTAGCCGTTTTCACGTCGGACCAATTGATTACAAGTTTTTGATAAGTTTAGGAATGTTTCTATGAAATTTTAGCAAATGATAACCTTTTTGACAAGGAAAACATTGTTTTCATGCAATTTCATCAACATACAAGAGGCAGGCCACATGTATCCAAGTAAAAATAAGTTTTTTTTCATTGAAAGAGACCTTCTTTAGACATTCCCCCTGCCTTCAGTTCGGCCCAAATTCTAGGAGAATAGGCCTGGTGATCAGCGCCGCCTTATTGTTTTCGTCGATGCTGTATGGAGGAAGGCGGACTTTGGGGATCATGTCATTCAAGGATCATTCGTCTTGGATCATGTTGAGGTATGTAAGTCTTGTCAGCTCTGTAAGTACTGTAAGCAAGCTCTGTAGGTACTGTGAGCTCTGTAAGTACTGCATACCTGTGAACAGGGCCACTACAAGGATATGTGTGTTGGTTTTGTCGCGTCTGCGTCAGATATACCACCTCACGTTTTTCATAAGGGCTGAAAATTTTCGGTAGGGAGGGATCTGACATCGCACCTGTCCATCAAAGCATGATCTTGCGTATAGCCATCCAACCACGATCTTTTCAAATTACGCGTATTTACAAGCGTGGTTTTACTCCTTTGCGAAACGTTTCTTGCCGAACATCGCTCATGCAAGGTATGTGGCTAGAAAATGAACACAGAAAAGGATTTTAAAAGTTTTCAGAAGTTTTGCACCGCAATCCTTCGTGGAGACAAGTACTATGCACTTTGTTCATGACTATAGTTCGCAACCTTGCATTTGCTTAGGCGTCTGTATATTAGTTACATCGTATATGCGATACGGAAGTGAACAGAGATACAATACTGAGAGACCTCGTATTTACATAATCAAACTGTTCATTCACGAAAGGTAGCACATGGCTGGTTCACCGGGAAGGCGAAAACAGCCATGGCGTACGCAATTGATAGAAGTTCCTAAATGTGATATGGAGTTTCTGACGTTCGCTCCCGTAAGCGAGGATGGCTGTGTTCTCCGCGAGTTCAGGTCAAGTAAGCTCGCGGCTATTGACTTCCTCTGTTCGTTGTAGAATGGGCCGCGGACTGTAGGTGGCAGGCCAGGCGGCAGAGAGGGAGAGAGTGAGGGATCATGTGTGCAATCCATACAGCTTCTAGTCATGCAATCTTCGCTTATGCATTTGTAGGTATGTGTGATATCTGCAACTCTCAGCTTGCTCTGTGTTTTCGATATCATTTATTGTCAGGTTAGATTGCGTCATTTTCTGGAGGGTAATCGTTTGAACCTCGTTGTCTTCATTCAAAGATGTCACGCTTTTAATACGGTTTTTGGCAACGTCTTGTCAGCTTGGTAAATCTCACTCGTTTGGTTTTTGTGGTGCGCTTCCGGCGTTTGTGTTTGTCTACCTCCCGTCCTTTTGCAGTGTGTCTTAATTAAGGCCTCGTGGAATGGGTTTTTGTTGGAGCTCCAGTTTGTTTGCATGACAATTGCTTGTTGGCCAGCATATTTTTTAGTGTTTGCAGTTCTTTGCGTGAAAGCTGCCATGGTGCGCAGATGAGAGAATCCTCTGTGTGTAGCTGGTAGCTTCGGTTGTGTTCCGTTGAGGGCATTTGACGACAATGCCTAACAACGTATGAATGCCGGCTGATTCCCTGTTCGGGGCCGCATGCGCATGACCGACTTCAGTGGATGGCGCCGACCCAGAGTTCGCTGATGCCATTACCTGTGGTTTCCTCCGTGCCTCGTGTCGTCGCGACTCTCGTCCGTGTCCGGATGTGGTCTGTTTCAACCCGTGTTGTACAGGTGCACTGTACATCCGTGTCTGCGGACTTCGTGTCTTCCGCGGTAATCGAATGAGAGGGTGAGATGTCCATCACATCGCAACACGGCAAGAAAATCAAGGCCCATCAGAGGGCTGGCATGCAAATATTTTGAAAGCGTTCAACACAACTACTTAAGTACTTTGTTTTTGGTGCTGAAAGCCGTATGGCGGCGACGCCTTCAGCGATTGCTTGGATACAAGACTGACGAAACACTGACTGGCCGGCCCGCCAAAGTCCGCGGATTTCCGGCTAGTTGACTTAAGACAAACTCGGGGCCCGGTTTCGACGAAGATTCTCGAAGCGGGAAGCCATCGACGTGAAGTGCCTGGCTCCGTAGCTGTAGCGTAGTCCGGTAGCTGTTCTGCCTGCCTCAGTCTGTGAAGTCGCCACCGGGTCTGAGATAGTTCGCCACCCACCACCGCTTCATGGGAGAGGGTGTGGGGGGGGGGGGGGGTGAGGGGCAACACTTGGTGGTATGTCAGACATCTCAGCATGTGCGATTTCAGCTATGCAACCGGAAAGCTTGAAATGACAGTCCATACCCATGACCATTCCCACCTGAAACATTTAGGTGATACTTCCAACATTCGTAATGAGACACCTGTCCCTCAAGTCACTGTCAAATGAATAATGGATCCGCAAAATCTTTGATTGACTTCAACGCTCTGGAGCATCTGTAGTAATTGCCATATAACTTTTCAACCAACGCCAGATAAAATAATCAGTTCTATTGCATCAGATTCCTACCATAATGCTAACGAATGTCAAACATCAAGGCCAGGCTGTCTCATCTGATCTCAATTCATCGTCCTTAGGGTAACACAACGTGTGTGATTCGTGCCGTGGTTTCGAAACGTAGCAGCTAAGCCGGGTGGTTAATCACAAATGGGCTTGACAATGATTCTTCTTCGACATCTACCAGTTGACCTCACATAGCCTCTGATGACCTGGCTCAACCTTCCGTGTCATTGCTGACCAAAACCAGCCGTCGAGTCACCCGACGAATTACATAAACACAGGGCAAGGTGAAGGGCGCGCCTGAAGAGCTGCGCTTCAGGCGATAACCGCATTCCATGCCTCCCCTAGCGACGTCGCGACTTAGTTGGCTGGCATACCATCGGTTATTTCTCCGTCAAGTGTGCGAAAAGTCAATCACCTGTCAAGTACTGAAAGTTTCGTAGCTCTGCCTGAAATACTGAAGAGGATATCCTCAGAACTGCAATCTCGAGGAAGGGGAGGGAGTACTTTAAACCTACTCCGTTGCTGCTGCGGGATTGGATTGTTCGCCATTTGCCGATCATGCTGCTCGAAAGCAGTAGGTATGCTTTCGCCATTCTTTGACATACAGGCTGTTGGACTACAACAGGCACTTAATGCGTTGTAAACACAACACGTATGCATTTCCTGAACTACGCCCTCATATAGCGCCACTGTTAGGTATGCACTGTCATCATGCGTACTGTGCATATGCATTTGTTGTAAGTAAAAATGTTTTAGGCTTCTGTTTTGTAGCATTATGGGTAAGCAGTTCTTATTCTGACAACCATCGACCTTCAGTAGGCAGTAAGTGCTGCTTAAACGACGTTGTCAAGCAAGCATTGACTTGACACGGTCAGTGTTCTTAAAATGACAAGACGTCTAACCTACCCGATTCAAAATAAGGGACAAAGCAATCTGTGTCACCAAGGCCAAACATTCGTATTGATTCAAAATCTTTGAATCGACGCTCGCCTGAACCCTGCAAATATTTGTGGTGGATGGATCTATCCCTCATTCAGATTAATGGGCCCGTCATCAGTGCCGATAGCTCCCCGGGCGGGCGGGCTTTTGGGCCGATCCTTTTGGCGGGCGTTCCGTAATCAATGACTCATTACTGATGGCCGCGGCTCGTTTGAGCCGGGCGGGACACCCCGGATAAGGGTGCGAACAAGGCGCCATCGCGTCCGCGCCCTGGCCGGGGGCGTACAGGGGCGAGTCGGACGCTCCAGACGCCGGCGTGGCCATGCGGCGGTCACGCACGGTCGGCCACGGTGCCACAGGGCCTCATCCCTCGTCTTACGTGCCCGATGGGCCTCCAGGGCTGACCACGTGTCTTTGAGCCTGCTGTCGCCGTGTACCGGTCCGCCGGCGCGGGGCCGCTGCGCTGCGCGGCGTCCACGACTTGACCTGCCGGTGCGGCTCCAACCCCTCACCGCCGCGGCCTGACCTGCCGGTGCGACTCCGACCTTTCGCCGCCACGGCCTGATATGGTGTGGCTCTGACGTCCCTCCGCCGCGGCTTGACCCGGTGTGGCTCTGACCTCTCGCCGCCACGGCCTGACCTGGTGTGGCTCCGACCTCTTACCGCTGCGGCCTGACCTGGTGTGGCTCTGACCTCTAACCGCCGCGGCCTGACCTGATGTGGCTCTGACCTCTCGCCGCCACGGCCTGACCTGGTGTGACTCTGACCTTTCGCCGCCGACAGCTGAACCTGGCGTCACAGTCGGTGCTGGAGGGCCTGAACGCCTGTCTGGACCACCGCGGCTCGGTGTTCGTGCCAGAGCTGGGGCGCACGTTCGCCCTCCAACGGGGCGTCACGCGCATCTTCGCATGCCAGAACCCGCTGCACGAGGGCGGCGCGCGCAAGGGCCTGCCCAAGTCCTTCCTCAACCGCTTCACACAGGTGAGACGGCGCTCGGTGTGATGTGTGACGTGTTACACGTAATGTGTGGATTGTGTGACGTGTGACATGTGACATGTAACATGTAGCATGTGGTCATGCGGGACTTGAGCACAAGAACCTGTGCCGATCACTCGGCTGGTGCAGCGTGGAAGCGTCAGTGACGGTTCAGGTATTGCTGGCCACACTACGGCAAGTCCTCATCGATCACCTATGTTGCGATTCGTCTTACGCGCTGCTGTGGAGACGATGCCGCCGTACTCCCACCCGTCGCATCCCTGGCCGTGCCCGACTCGGCCGTCCTCAAACCTCACACAGCGACGGCTGCTGCGAGCGCGCACGTGCCATTGTCCGTCTGTAGTTTGCCGCAGTGGGAGGCTTCCGAGAATTCGTAGACCGCTCGAGGAACTTTTGCGTATGAGTAAGAGGGGTTCCTCAGCCTTTCATCCGCGTCCGTTATTTGGTTTTCTATCCGACTTGCAAACATTACAAGATGAATATTTTGCCTTCAAGATTTGCTGCGCCGAGTGTAATCAACTTTGCGAAAGCTTCATACCAACGACGGAGTCTTTGAAATGGGCAAATAAGATAAGCTAGTAATATCAGAAATAGTCTGTTGTAGGCAATCATACTCCGCGAGCGTGGGGACCGCATTTTCACTCAACCCGTGACCAAGCAACATTATGGTGATCCCGCACGTGGGCATTATGGGCGCCGTAAATCGCTGACGGCCGGGGCCCGTTGGTGGGCGGTGCGAAGCTTCCGGCCGTTGAACAGGGCGGTGGACGGCGGACTGAGCCGGCGAGACTTGCGCCGGTGCCAGGTGAGGCCGGCTAAAGGTTCCGTGGGGGTGCCGGGGACGGTCATCCCCTGCCGGAGGTCCTCCGACGGCGGCCACCCCCGGCCAGAGGTCCTCCGGTGGGGCCGGGACGGCCACCCCCGGCTAGAGGTCTTCCGTCGCGCCAGGGACGGCCACCCCCGGCCGGAGGTCCTCCGGTGGGGCCGGGACGGCCACCTCCGGCCAGAGGTCTTCCGTCGCGCCAGGGACGACCACCCCCGGCCAGAGGTCTTCCGGCGGCGGCCACCCCCGGCCGGAGGTCCTCCGGCGGCGGCCACCCCCGGCCGGAGGTCCTCCGGCGGCGGCCACCCCCGGCCGGAGGTCCTCCGGCGGCGGCCACCCCCGGCCGGAGGTCTTCCAGCAGCACCGGGACGGCTACCCCCCCCCCCCCCGGCGACAGGTCTTACGGCAGCGCCAGTGGACCAGTACAGAGATCCGCGGTCCGGTCTGCCTCAGGGAGAACAGGCTACCTAAGGAGAAGGCGGGGAAGATCCTGTAGCTTCTCTATTGTCTTAACGTGTGCAGCATAGTTGTATTTGCCTGCTCCACTGCTACAAAGCGGCTAAGGATGGCAGCGAACGGTCCAGTCCGGCATGCGTCCTTAAGAAGTTAGGAGAGCCGCAGTCGTGCCTGGCATGCATTTGGCGTATGAACCTCTCATATATTGTTGCTGGGATAAATGTAGCTGCGGACATTTGGCATTATTGTGTTGGTCTAAGCATTTTGAGGATGTATTTCCAAGCACTTTGATATGGTGCGCTGAAACAGCTGGGTCGACTGTCATCAGACCTTCACCGTCGGGTACGGCGGCCCGATGGGGCGACCGCGGCGTCATGACAGGATGGTCTGGGCACTCCGGGTTCAAAGCACTGCTTAATTACCACAACCGGCATTTGGATGTACACCTTCTGCTGTGGGTGCATTGGGTGGCAAGTGATGCGCGCACGAGGCTTCGCTCGCCAAGTCCACTGCCGTTAGAGTGGTGGTGTCCTGCAGCTGGAATTTGGCACAACGGGTCTCGGTAGAGTTTGGGCCTTACCGAAAGACTTGTTGTCAAAGTCCGTTTCGGGATGGACGTGGGCGCGCGCTAGCTTATTCTGTCATGTCTTCGGGCGGGGGGGGGGGGGGGGCTGTGCCGATAACTGGATGGGTCGGAACCGCCAAGTTCGGTGCGCTTTTCTGCGGCCACAGTTTCTGTGGGGATGAGCATTGGTATGGGACGTGTGCGTATTGTGGCACTCGACACACGCGCTCACGTTTCGTTACCCTCCACTGACTAACCCACACCCGGCTTTAGGACATTTCTGTTTCCCAGGGATGTTTGATGAGTCCGTGGAGAATTGAATTGGGCATTGGCTTGCGTCTAAGTAATCTACTGAGCTGTGCCCCGCTCTCCCGCTCACATTCGTCGTCGGCGGACGTGCTCTCGCGCCCCGCCTCCTCGCCTCAGTTCGTTTGCGTGTGTCGGTGCCGTCTCGCGCCCGGTGCTGCGCCTTTCCGTGAGACGGCGCCGTCATCGTCAACGTTTTGCTGGTGCTCGGAACGTGACGGTAAGTGGCAGCGGCTCGACGTTTTCCGTCGTCGGGGCGGGGCCGCCCGACGGGCTGCTGAAGGCCCATTGGGGTAGGGAGAGAGAGGGAGGGGCGGTGACAGTTTACTTTCGGACCCAACCGGTCTCCGTTAGCAATTCCAAAGAGCCCTGCAGAGAAAGCCCCTCGCAGGCTTCCCGTACTTGGAAGCTTCCTATGATCCCACACTGCCAAGCCCCCTAATCCACCAGGCTCAACGCGCCGTCCCGCGCGTCACCTGCCACCCGGCCACCATGTCGTCCCCGCGCGCAGGTCTCGCCTCGGGGCACGGCGTGGCGCTTCTCCGTGTCGCGGCCCTGAGAACAGTCCAGCGGCGCGACCGCGTGCTGGCTTACTGGGGTCCGAAGTCCAATGTGCTGAAGTCCAAAGCCAATCCTGCTTAGCTACTGCCTGCTCTGACGCTGTTTCATACGCGTGTAATGCAAAAATGATCCAATCTGTGGAATCGCTTGAGTTGCTGTGGCCCGACCCGGGCAACCCCAACGGTGGTCTCGCTCATGCAAGGCAAGAAAACCTGTACCACGGGTAGCCGTGCCATGGTGCTGTATGGCACGGCCTGGATACATTAGTGCGATTTGTCTGGTAAACTGGGTGTAAACTATCTCGTAGTTTGGGCCACTTTGTTTGTGATGTCAGTTTCGATAGGACAGAGGGCTTTGGACGTCTGCTCCGCTCAAGGCGATAGGAACAATAAGGCTCCGCATATCCAGTTGTATTCAGCTGAGATTACTTGATGCCTCGCGGTCATTCATCTGAAGCATCTACGCCTGTCTTATCAGGCCATTCTGAATGCGTCATTGACGTCATGACGTCATCCTGATGAATGCGACTCGTAAAAATGTTGACAACGCTTCTGCTTTCTGGACGGGGAGCCCTCATATGCTGGGCGAAGGTGTTGATGATCTAACGATTAGTTTAAAGGCTTTTGTATTCTAATGTTCCCAAGCTTCCAATAGCACCAAGTCTGCCTTGTGATTAACAGGCTGCATTTTAAGGGAGCCCGCCGGATCTAGTTTCCGCGGGCTGGTGATGCTGCTGCGTACTGGCCTCAGACAGACCGGCTGCGGAGCAAAGCCAGCCGCTCTCGGGCGGCAGGGCCGCCACTCGACAGCTGCTGTTTGAGCCGCGCCTCGCACCGCCGTGTGTGACCTGGCTCCCGTGCCGTACCGGATCCCCCGGCGGGCGGCGGCTGGGCGGAGCCGGCTCTGGCAGCAGCCGACGCCTTCAGGCCGGGCGCCTGCTCCATCACCGCCCCCCCCCCCCCCCCCTCCCGGCCGCTGTGTCTGTGGCACTGAGGTCACAATGCCATCCTAATCGCGTTAAAGGGTTTGGGCGTGTCAGAACAATTGCACCGACTTTGTTCTCCGCAATAAAACGGAAGTTTTTTTCTGCAAAGCGTTTGTTCTGTACCAACACATACAACTGCATGGAGAGAAGGCCGTCTCGGCAGCGTTTTGTTCAGTCAAACTCGCCGTAACGCCACGGCCGGGACTGCTGCCAAAGTTGTGAGTACTACAGATGTACGCGATGCAATGTTTGAAAGTGCCGCTGTCGTTCCATAAAGTCTCATTCCAGGACCATAACTTCTCAGAATTGCTGCATCGTAAAGAGCAAACGCCTGGCATGAATAAAGCGTCGTACAATCAGGGACAGACGGTGCAACTTTACACGTCTCAGCTCAAAAAAACTGAATAGTTTGTGCGCCCAATCCTGCTAATGCGGGCTCGGTAGCTGCGTGCCGTGTCTTTTTGTGCGTCGTGATTTAGGCCGTCTCCACGGCTGCCGGCGCTGCCGGCGCCCCCGAAATCTGCGATCTCGGCCGTCTCTACCGCTGCCGGCGCTGCCGGCGCCCCCCGAAATCTGCGATCTCGGCCGTCTCTACCGCTGCCGGCGCTGCCGGCGCCCCCCGAAATCTGCGATCTCGGCCGTCTCCTACCGCTGCCGGCGCTGCCGGCGCCCCCCGAAATCTGCGATCTCGGCCGTCTCTACCGCTGCCGGCGCCCCCCGAAATCTGCGATCTCGGCCGTCTCCAATCGGCTCGATGCGGCGGCCGGCCGTGGACTTCACTGCATTGTGAGGCCTCAGCTCATTGAAACGAGGCTCTCAGAAGACAACCGTGGCTTTGGTGCCATTGTGTTCAGGCTGCACTTCGTGGAAGCCTCAAGCGATGTCGTTCGAGCAAACTGGCTCGGCCATTTTTGTTTCAGTTTAGTGCGAGCGCTTTGTAATGGAAAGGCGTCAAGAAGGGTGCCGTCTCGGCTTCTCCGTGTAGCCACGATGCAATTGTTTTCAGTTGAACGGGCTTATAAAACACTAACCATTTCTCCAAATGCCTGCGCCCGAAAACTGCCGGCGGTATGTGACCTTTGCCAGCGCTTAATAGCCTTATTCGGCGTGTGCAGTGCTACTTCTCTTGTATTGCTTGATGCCTCGTGTCCATTTATCTGAAGTACCTCCACATGTCCTTGGCCATGGTGATAAATGCGTCCCGTAGAAATGCTAACAACGCTCCTCGTTCGTGAATGTGTGAGCCCCAGCTTGCCTCTCAGCGCCACGTTGGGGTGAGTGGCGCGTCGCTGGCGCGCGGCTCAGTGCTGCAGCCCTTCCGCGTTGTTTTTCCTCTCCTGCCGTCTGATTGCCCGGCCCGACTGTACGTGAGAGCTGTCGGCCGCACTCGTTTGTTACGGTGCGTCTGAGTAACGACCTGACGGAATAATGCGATGATTTCTGCCAGCGTGTCGGCCGGTGCCCCCCGCTCCCCACCCCGTCACACCCACCCCACCCCTGCCGGCAGGTGTTCGTGGAGCCGCTCTCGCAAGACGACCTGGAGCACATCGTGCTGTCGACGCGTCTGCCGGCGGGCGGCCGCTGTCCGCCGGCGGCTGACGTGCGCCGCATGGCTGACTTCAGCCGTCGACTCAACGCCGCCGTCCACGGCCGGCGCGAATTCGGCCAGCGCGGCGGGCCCTGGGAGTTTAACCTGCGCGACATCACCAGGCGAGTGGGGTCGGCGACGACCGGCTGCACCCAGCGCCGGCTGGGTCGGCGTGGGAGCGGCCGGCGGTGACCAGCTGCACTCAGCGCCTGCTGGGCCGGTGGGGCAGGGGCCGGCGGCGACCGGCTGCGCCCAGCGCCGGTTGCTTGGGCGGGGCAGTGGCCGCCGGTGACCGGCTGCACCCAGCGCCGGTTGTTTCGGCGGGGCAGGGGCCGGCGGTGACCGGCTGCACCCAGCGCCGGTCGCTTCGGCGGGGCAGTGGCCGGCGGTGACCAGCTGCACCCAGCGCCGGCTGGGTCGCGTGGGAGCGGCCGGCGGTGACCAGCTGCACCCAGCGCCGGTTGCTTCGGCGGGGCAGTGGCCAGCGGGGCAAGGGCCGGCGGGGCGGGCGCGTGTTCGCCGCTTGCCGCAGCGATGCGGGTCTGACGCGAGGCTCTGTGGCGGATCGCCGCACCAGGCCGCGCTTCATCAGATGGCCAATCCGCCTCCGGGAAACGGTCCCCCGAGGGTGGGCAGTAATGCTTTCCGGAATGGAGGATGCTGGCGTCCGATAACGGATGATCTTTTCGTGGAAGGGCGGTTTGGTGCCTTGCGAGAAGACTGGCGGCTGAAGCGCCGGAAATTCGGCGTTGTTTGGGCAAAGTCGAACGGATGCGATCAACAGGGAAAATTGATAGATCTCGAGTACGTGCCTATATTACCTTATATGCCATGGCTCAATAGAAGCTTCATTCGATTTCCGCCCATCGCGAGTTCGAAAAGCTTGACTGCGGAGCACGTCCCCGGATAGTCAGGTGCGGTGGGGGTGGGCTTTGCTCTCTAAGATATCAAAAAGGTCAGAGGACTAGATACTCCAAATTCACACGTAAGTTGACCTTTGGGGTGCAGTCCCTTGTGTCAAATTTTGAAATCCGTCGGTCTTGACTTTCTGGTGAAATGAGGTCAACATGGTCAAACTTCAGATCGGTGTCTGAAGTACCCTCAGACCCCACGCAATCAACTTTAACGTACCCATCTTATCTAAGCAAAAGGCCACTGGTGTTCAAATCAGCTGATTGACCGTATTTGGCCTTTAGGTCATAGTGACCAAAACCCATCGTGTTTATCGTGATATTTGAATTCACGATAAGGGTCAAGAACTTCTGTAGGCGGCATGTTCCTCACAGGTACGGGTTGATTAAGTCATTTCAAGTCATTAACCTCCCTTGAATTAATACGTCAAGGATTAGGAATATCTTGGTGTCTCTGTGGTCAAAGAAGCCGAAAGGTGTGTCGAAAAATACTCTAGGAAGCCAATTTTCCAGTTAAAATTGGTTTGGCTGTGACTACCATCTGGCCTTCATAGCTGACCCAAGGGCAATGGAATTAGGTGTAATTTCGATTTGAGTTGTCCAAATGCCTGAGAAACCATCCTACAGTTAACTAGTTTTTTCGAAAACGACGTAGCAGCTTTGAAAGGTGCACTAATAAATTAGTATCGCCTGCACCCATCGCCTGATTTTGACCTGCTCGTGTTAGCCAACTGGTGGCTAATTTTTGTGCTAAAATATACGCCTTTTTCAATTGGCTAGCGCTGCATAAAGATTGTTGTGACCATGGCGCACAGTTCAGAAGTTGTCCTGGAAAAGACGAGAGGATGGCTCAAATTGACACTCACCGGAGTACGTGTTAACACATTGCTATTGCGTTTTGGAGACGAATTATTGCTGAAAGCGCACTTGTGTCACAGGATCATTAAACCGGCGTTGGACAGCCGGGATGTTAGGGAAAATATTTATGCCCAGATATATTTTTTATGAGTGGGTAGCTAAATCAGAATTCAGGTCGTTTTTCATTGCCTTAGGGTTCGGGCAACTTGGAATCCGGCGGGTCGTGACCCAGCTACGGGTCACGACCCGTCGGTGTTTGTCGTCGGACTGCGTGTGGATCGTCTGGTGTTGAAATTGATTGCCAGCTGTGCTTCAGTTCCCTGACATCACTGTTTTCGGAAATAGCGACGTCAATTGGTTGATCACATACATGCGTCTTACAATTATTGGCAATGCTATGTTAGTGAACCTTATCAGTTCGAGATTGGGGCGAACTTGTGTTCGCCACACGCATTTGCGTTTCACTAACTACCCAAAATCGAATTCGTCGTGGCGCTTTTATGATGCGTTGCCCCATTCCACGATTATCCACAAAAGCAGCAAACTAATCGCTGTGATGTTTTCGCTGGCTCGTCGTTTTGCCTCTGAATTGGTTTCTTTTAGTTCGGCTGTCCTATTGTCCGAACTTCAAATCTAATGTGGAACTTGGCCCGGAGTTTCCCCACTGCCGCATTTCATCCGCTCTGATTTCGCCATTCGCGGCGAGATGGGTTCAGCTTGTATGGGCTCGTTCATCGTCCGCGCCCTGACGCGCGCGGGTGTCGTGTGCGCCGTTTTTGCCGCCGCTACCGCGCCGCGAACAGCGCAGGGTGTAAGGCGGCCATCCATTGCGACCGCGGCCCCTTTGTCCGGCCTGAACAGCGGCATTCAGCGACCGCAGCCTGTATGCTTACGGCAAGTGTTGGGCCGGCCACTTGTAACGAAGGCGTAGTCGAGGCGCGGCGCGGCCCGCATCGCGGCCGTCGTCCTGCGGCCGGCTGCCAGGCGCCGAGGAGCGGGAAGGTCCGGGCCGGGGAGGATAGGGAAGGCCCGGGCCTCCCGGGCGCCAGCCGCTGGCTCGGTCAGCGGGGGAGTCGGCGGGAGACCAGGGAGGCCCGGGCCGCCCGGGCGCCAGCCAGCGTCTCAGCTGGCTCTGTGCGCCCGCGGAACAGGCTGCGGACCTGCCATTTGTTCCAGCCGACCAAAGTGACCCCACGTTCCGTCGCTCTGCCAGAGAACTGGGCCAAGGTGATTCACCCTACGCGTTTTAGCAAATGTAACCCTTTTCTATGCACGTATTTTTGGCCTAATTCATCCAGTGTTGGCTCGAGTTGTACGAAATGAACTACGGGCCTTCAAGCCATCGTGTGCGCCTGGCCGGATGCGCCCGGTCCCGCACAGATAGTTATACACGGCATATGGGAATTCGTGCCACTAATGGCGAAGTTTCATTGGCACGCCCCACCCATGAATGACTTACGAACCGAAAGTTGGGGTCGAGTCGGCCTGCTTCCGGCCGGTGTATCATCCGGACGTGATTGAATGGAGCAACGGCGGACGTGACTTCACGTGTGGGCTCTGATCAATGCTAATGTGCGACGCGTCGGGCGGATGTCTTTAGTCATGGGTTAGACAGGGCACATAGTCCCAGTTTTCAAGTTACCGCTGGGTGTCGGGTGCTTATGGACCCGATCGACTGCGTGCCCATGCAAACTTCGTGGAGTGTGAGGCTTTTGGGCGCCTTTTGGGCGCCTTTTCCGTGATATTCGCGTGCCACGCGTCTCACGGCTGCTGTCCGCGCGGTGTCTACCGGCCAGGCGTGCGTGCTGGCGCGACCGGCGGGGGCGCGCCGCCAGCGCTGGGGAGTGACGGCCCATCTGCGGTGAGCTGGCTCAGGAGCAGCCGGGGTCAGCCGCGGCTGGCTCCTCCCCCAGCGTCCGCCGCGCGGGGCCGCACCGCCAGCGCTGGGGAGTGACGGCCCATCTGCGGTGAGCTGGCTCAGGAGCAGCCGGGGTCAGCCGCGGCTGGCTCCTCCCCCAGCGTCCGCCGCGCGGGGGCGCGCCGCTGGAGCTGCTCGTCACGTTCCACCCGTTTGTCGACTGCAGAGACGCATCTCTCGTCACGCTCTTCGTCAGACTGGCTGTGGCAGACTGGCTGTGGGCGGGTGGCGTCGGGCGCTTTGTTGTGTGTTGTGGGCTTTTGCTGGGATAATGGGTCAATAGCGCCTTGTCCAGCTGAGGCTGGGTGTTTTTCGCCAAGAGTCAGGTGTTAGAAGTTCGGCGGTTAAGTGTGCGGCGTAAAAGGACCGCAGTGGTCCTTGATACTTTAGACTTTTTAGACTTCTATTAATCAGATAAAGGACGGCGGAGGCCCTTTATCTGATTAAAACAATCCAACGCCGGTAGCACCGGTAGCAATCTGATAAAAAACATTGGCGCACATGGGCTTTCTTTGATGCTGTTTGTACTTACAGGATGTACATCACCACATTTACACAAGCTGCCTAGATAGTATAGCTGCTTGTAACGCATGATCACTATTTCTCATTCAGCAACTGGCATCGAATGCTTTGCTTGCGTCAATTCGTCGAGAATGTTTTACACACTGGGCATGCCACTGTTTAATGATATGCCGAGTACTTAATCGTGATGCAAATTTGTCTGCGGGGGAAATATCAGATATATTAAAAGGCTTCAATGCGTTATCCGTCGCAATCACACCACTGCGCACCGCGAAGGAAAGCACCTTGCCAAGCCCCGGACCATTAGCTGTATCGCGGTCCGACCAAATACTATTTTACCGAGAAGCCATTCTTACACGATCGCACCCCGGACGCTGTACGCTGCGCCCGGCATTCGCCATATGGCTGAGCATGACGGAGGCTGCCGGCGTTATTAAACCGTAGCCGGCACCCCGATGGTCCTGCGCGGATGAGTAATCATCTCACCGGCAGATGAAGCCATTCGCCCGCGCGGCAGGGATTACAAGGGCTTGTTGCCGGCCACGCACGGGGAATGATGCTCGTCGTTTGCGCGTGGGAATGGTCAGTTTTACACGAGTTACCACCTTCGGAGACTGGTCTTGTCTGCTTATCACCACTCGCCGCACTGCGTTGATGTCGGCAATATTTGGCGTGCGGTGTCGAGAGAAGTCTTCGTGGCCAGTCTTCGGTCACACTATTTTTTCAACTTGTGTAGTGTTGGCTATCAGTTGTGGCAAGGCTTATTGTTACAAACGACCATGCGCGTCTATCAAAAACTGCTGCTTAGATAGCTGAAGGGCAGCTTTACGGTTAATTACAGGTATTATTTATTTAGCTTACTTGTCACAGACCGGGGACGTGCTCACTCGGGATGTCCCTGCGTGTGAGCGCCTCCAAACACTCTTCCCTACTATCTTCAACTTGAGCGGAACGGCGCACGCTGCCCTCTGCGGACCAAGTTAGTCGTCTCAGTCGTAGTTTGGAGCTCGTGTCCCCCGCTCCCGGGAGACGCAAGTTCAGGCTTGCGAATTCAGCGGCCCGGTCCTGAAAAAGAGCCACTGCCAGGTTGAGTTGGGCTGCCGTGCCACCAGTTGATCCGGACATAATGGGCGGACTGACCGCGCTCGTCACGCTCGGCTGGGGAGGTGAACGTCGCCAACTTCGGCGCCTGCCTTCGCGGGGAGTGAGGAGGCTCGGCGACAGTGTGCCGTCCGCCCGAGCCGGCCGGCTCGAGTCGGCCGCCAGCTCAGCAGCGCGCTCTCAGAGCGCGAGCTCGGCACCACGGCCGCCGGGATGGCACTGGCCGCGGCCGGCCGCAAGCCAGAGGCCGCCGAGAGCGCTGCTCTTCGCGCCTGGGGGGGGGGGGGGGAAGGCAGGGGGGGGGGGGGTGTTGCACAGCCCTGGTTGCCCGATCACGCTGGTTACCTGTGAGAAACGTAGCGACATGGTCCTTCATGCTCATGAGTGTAGTGTAAATTGTGCGGAATTGATTCAAGCGTGTTTGACCGCAATCAATACAATGTGTCGTCGCCATCACAACCGCGCTGAATTCTAGTTGTGTTTTTACCACCTTGCCACGGTTTGATGCGTTCCCGAGCTTTGCCTAACATTTCTGTCAGCCTGACACCCGCTTCCTGCCCGATGTAGACGGGGTAGAAGAACCCCTTCCCCGGCCTGATACATGGCGCGAGACGGGTGGGGACGTGCGGCACGTGTGACGTGTGTGGTGGGGTCGGCGCTGTCTGGACGTGTGCTGCACCATGCGGAGACTGTGACCCGAAGAGGCGGCGCGGAATGCCGGCGCCGCCGCCTGACCCCTGCTGATGATCCTGCTTCCCGTATTAATTGCGCCACTGGCGGGCAGGTGGTGCGAGCTGCTGGCGGCCGAGTCCGAGCCGGGCTCACCGGGGCGACATGTCCAGCTGCTGTACGCCGACCGGATGCGCTCCGCCACCGACAAGGCGGCCGTGCTGCAGCTCTCGGACCAGGTGAGCCGGCCGCGACGAGGGCGGAGGCCGGGGCCGGGGCCGGGGCCGGGGCCCGTCGACGTTCGGCAGAACCCAGCGGCGCCCCGGCCGCCGAGGCGACACGGCGGCCCGACAGTCTCGGGCCTGACAGATATGGTGGAGGCCCCCGTGTTGTGGGGTCGGTGCCGATACCTGCCCCAGACCACAATCGACCGATATGGTCATCTTCCAGCAGGGTTGTGCTCCGACCCGGCGCTAACACCAGGCGTCCGAGGCCGGCCGTCCGTTCCGGCATGGCGTCCCATATTCTGTGACAGGGATCATCACAACCTCCCTAAAAAAGCACGCTAGATGGCCAGTCTAAAGTTTATCTGAAACGTTTAAAGTTGAGGACGGTCTGACTTTAAGCAGAGCGGGTAATGGCTTGGTAGGATGGTAGGCTAGTGGGTGGTGTTGTGGTAGGGTGGTGTTGTGGTAGGCGGTGCGAGGGGCTATTGGAAGAGGGCTGCGCCACCGTTGCTGGTGACGAAAACGAGGATACCGGTGATCTACGCTAACTTGTCTACGAACAAGAGAAATTGGGTGTATGCATGCGACATTGCGCAGGATCTGACGTGTATTCTGACATTGTGCAGGATCACGAGCACATTTCAAAAGTTGGTGCGGAGAGGAAGAGAGAGAGAGAGAGAGAGAGAGAGAGAGAGAGAGAGAGAGAGAGAGCGAGAGAGAGAGAGAGAGAGAGAGAGAGAGAGAGAGAGAGAGAGAGAGAGAGAGAGAGAGAGAGAGATAGAGAGAGAGAGAGAGAGAAGAGAGAGAGAGAGAGAGAGAGAGAGAGAGAGAGAGATAGAGAGAGAAGAGAGAGAGGAGAGAGAGAGAGAGAGAGAGAGAGAGAGAGAGAGGAGAGAGAGAGAGAGAGAGAGAGAAGAGAGAGAGAGAGAGGAGAGGAGAGAGAGAGAGAGAGAGAAGAGAGAGAGAGAGAGAGAGAGAGAGAGAGAGAGAGAGAGAGAGAGAGAGAGAGAGAAGAGAGAGAGAGAGAGAGAGAGGAGAGAGAGAGATAGAGAGAGAGAGAGAGAGAGAGAGAGAAGAGAGAGGAGAAGAGAGAGGAGCGAGAGCCTGCTCGAGCGGATATAGAGAGCGCTAGCTCGCGCGCGAGAGAGAGAGACAGTAGAGAGAGAGAGAGAGAGAGAGAGAGCGCAGAGAGAGATCGAGATAGAGCAGAGCGAGGAGAGAGAGAGAGAGAGAGAGAGAGAGAGAGAGAGAGAGAGAAGAGGAGAGAGACGATAGAGAGAGAGACGAGAGAGAGAGAGAGAGACGGGCCAGAAGTAAAACAGGCTCTTTAAGGTTGCGTGCCGTGCGTCGTAGCATGCGTCTTTGTGTCCTGGGGTCGTCTCTGTGTCTTTGAATACGTAGGGGACCAGTTCGCAGAACGGTTCGCCCCCTCTGCAAACCGGCTGACATAATTCAAGCATTAGCAATCATCAGTGGCGCTCCTAAAGCTTAAGCTGCATAACTACTAACGACAATCTAGTGTTTAAAACAATGAGATAATGGTATGGGTGTACGGTCATCCCAGGTTCAGACGGTAGCTGCGAACGTTTCCTCCAAACTTCAGTTTTCTATGATCGTCCATGAATTGTTGGCTGAAAGTAATATCAGTGACGCAAACGTCAGCTGGAACTCAGAACAAAGGGCGGGTTTGGTAATCGGCGAAACGATTCACCCGCCCCCCCCCCCGCCCCACAAATCAGGCGGTCAGATGAACCAGTGATTGCGTTTTGAGTCGCAAAACCGATCGACCGACGAAAAATAATATTTACGCGTCATCTCCAACGTTGGAAATGCGGCCGTGTAATTATACCATACATTACATCGGACTGTAGAAATCGGGCGGTTATGTCCCCCGCCAGTCTGTTTTCATTCAGTTTCCAGCGGTACCTCCGGTTGACAAGAGTCTGATCTGGTGCTGGTCTGTCCAGGCCCATCCGTTTTGTTCGTTCGCTCGCGCCTCAGAGCTGTGCTGAAGATCTATGGATGTTGTTTTTCTGGCTATCCATTGTCGTGCGTCGGCGAAGAGGACATTGTAAATTGCCCGGAAACCACAATATAATGTGGTAAATACGTTTTGGGCTCAGGCGGAAAGACGGGACTAGCTGCGCAAGTGGGGGTAATGGACAGCGGCTGTCAGCCAGCCAGATGAGAAAAGCGAACGAGATGAAATGCGCCATCAAAGACGCCAATGTTCAAATGGTGTTCCTTGGACGCAAATGTTTTAATATATCGAAGGAAGCATGAAGTGCTTCTGAAATGAAAAACCTACGATCAACATGATCCACGAAAATATGGGCACAGTGCGCAGTTGTGATTATGCGTATATGTTGAACACATGAAAGTCTGTTTTCAGTGCATACATGTATACCGTCTGGAGCCTGTAATGTCGGCTCACTGCATTTATTATAGATCGTTACTGGAAGTATTTTCACTGTCAAGTGCTCTGTACGGTTCGTTCATTGGTTAACCATGTTGCTAGTAACAAGTTAACCTGTTTAAAGGCAGATACGACGGCAATCACTTTGTCCCTGCAGCATTTTGGACATTGCATAGTTTCATTTCCAAAACTGACGACCCGATTCTGTCTTGCCCGCTGTCTAGCGATGCATTGTCGACATAGAATGCGAAGCATCGGCTGAAACACTGCCGTTTCGAGGCTGTTCAACAGTTCGCCGTCTTGCAGGTGTTCGGGGAGCGGTACGTTCGTCCGCCGTGCCATCTATCAGTGTCCTGTGAAGCTCTGTGTGTGGGTCGCTCCCGCATGGAGCGTGCTGCGGACGAGAACCACGTGAGTGAGCGATCCCGGCCGGCGGCCGTCACCACGCGCAGCTGGGACCGGGACTCTGGCAGGGCGGGGATGGAGGCACTCGGGCTGCCAGAGTTGTCTGATCATGATCGAGATATGTGGATTAATCCCCAGCAGTGATGCTTCCAGTTGGTGTCTGTCTCTCTCTGGACTCCAGTTGGTGTCTGTCTCTCTCTGGACTCCAGTTGGTGTCTGTCTCTCTCTGGACTCCAGTTGGTGTCTCTCTCTGGACTCACGAGACGGGATAATTATTGATATTAGCTCATCCTCGCAAGCCTTACCGATCAAGTGGCGTTAGATGTTGCAGATCTAGTGGCTTCAGATGTTGCATTGGTTGCTAAGTGACGTAGCAAAGGCTAGGGCACACTCAGAACTCATTGAGTGGTGTATGGCGCCGTCGCCCTTGCCCGCCGGCCTCAGCGCCTGCGGCGGCCGGCGTTCTCACATCTCCGGCCCGGTGTTCCAGGTCATGTCGGCGTCCGACCTGGACCTGCAGATCGTGCGGGGCCAGCTGCCGACCATCGAGTCCCTGATGACGTGCATCAACATGAACTGGATGGCCATCCTGGTGAGTACACCGAGGTTCCGCCGCAGTTGGAGGCAGCGATGTCGCCTTGGCCTGATCCCGTGCATTTCCAGAAGATACAGCAGATGCAGTAGTCGCCGTAGTGCTGGCGTCGTAGTGATGTTGGATCGCCTCCAAGAGCCGTCGTCAAGAGATACAATTAGGGTCACGGTCTTCGCTGGCCCGCACGCCCGGCGCATTGCACCCCGAACTGGTGCAAAGGTGTTCTCGATGTGCCCTTGCCTGGTGCGCGCGGTGCTGGCTCGAGCGTACGTCATACTGGTCAACGTATCAGCGAACACGTGTCAGCGAACGTATGTCATACTGGAGCACAAAAGGGATGGTTACAAAGTGGCGAGATTAGAGCTGGTGACGATTGCTCCCTCTGACCGGCGTTTCAATTGCACGCTTTACTCTGCGACGTGCCACGGGCTGCAGAACCGGTCTCAAATGTCACGCTTATGGTTTCCTTCGAAACCAGCCCGTTCCCTAAACCTTTCTATCGTAAAAAGCCTCATAAAATGGCATTGCTTCTAATGCTACGCGAACTCCTGCAACCGACGATCAGAGCCGACGAGCCGTTGCGTCCGGGAGGCGGCGGCGGGGGCGGGGGTGGTGGCCGTGGCGGCCGTGCGTGTGCTGTTCGGCGGCAGGGCCGGGCGCTCGTCCTCGGACGCCCCCGTTCCACGCATCAGGTGCTGGGCTTCACACGCGGCGCGTGGCTCGTGATCCAGCGCCGGCCAGCCGCGTCATTCACCGGCTCTAATTCGCCGGCGCCCGGTCGATGGCGGCGGCGCACCGCTCGACACGCTTTGTCACCGTGGCAGCGCCAGTGTGCTCTGACAGTTACACGCTTTCGCAGCGGACACGAAATCAGATTAAGATCACGCACGCCCCGTTAAATTGGGTCGAGGGCCTCGGCCCCCAGTCCAAACATGCAGGTGTTTGTTGATTCAGTTGCAACAACGCTTAGTTGACTGGCCGTGAATTTACTGGATTATTTGAGATATCACGATGTGTTAATGTGGACTGAATCCTTCACTTCTGTCACTTCTTCGCCAATGGACTGCACCTGCAATCTGCCGAATGTGCGGTTTCTGCCTGATAGAAACCACAGACTGGCTAGTTAATGGCATTAAAACGCCCGAGAGGTGTTTGCTAGCGTTCCCGAGTGGCTGCTCATTCTGTACGCCTTGCCGGGGTGACGGCCGACACGCCCCGGACCGGATCGAATCGAATCGGATCGGATCGGATCGGATCGGATCGGATCGGTTCGGATCGGATCGGATCGGATCATACCGGACCGGTCAGGACTGGATCGGATCGGATCGGATCGGATCGGATCGGATCGGATCGGATCGGATCGGATCGGATCGGATCGGATCGGACCGGACCGGACCGGACCGGACCGGACCGGACCGAACCGGACCGGACCGGACCGGACCGGACCGGACCGGACCGGACCGGACCGGACCGGACCGGACCGGACCGGACCGGACCTAACCCGACCGGACCGGACCGGACCGGACCAGACCGGACCAGACCGGACCGGACCAGACCAGGCCAGGCCGTCGCCGCCACCACCGCCACCGCCGCCACCGCCACCGCCCCGACGGCCGGGCGCTGGTGGTCGCTGCCATGCATCGTGACGTTGCAGCGACTGGAGGGATGCCGACCCCCGGCCATAAATTACGCCTCGGAAGCGATGAACCGGCGGGCGACTCGCCGCTGAGCCTCTAAACACCGGCCGATGGGAGCTGGGAGCGCGGCGACGGCGCCTGCCGCCGCCGTCGCCGCCGCCGGCGTCCGTACAGACCGCGCGGCGCCCCGGGTGCCGTATTGGCCGATATTGGCCGCAGCCGCCCCGGGGGCCGCCGTCCAGCATGCAAATGTGGCGCCGGAAATGCATGGATGCACATAGGGAGCAGGCGCGGGCGGCGGCGTCCGCACGTGGGCGCCGCCCATTGTCCGGGTCGCGCCGCTCGACACGCCGGCGCTGTGTCGGCGCGTGCTGTCGTGAACGCTTCGCAAGTTCATCTGTCACGATTAGCCGCCTGCGCCGGGGAACGTGACGACCAGCGACGACTTTGGCAGTACGTGTCGGACTCTGCAGGGACTAAGCATTGCTGTCGAGCCGGGCGCGGGCGGCCCGCCGTCGTCGGACACTACCTGCGTGCGGCTGCCGCGCTCGCCGCCGAGCTGAGGTGGGGTGCGACAGCGGCGCGTCGGCCACGGGCTGATACCGTCGTCGGTGCGGTGGTGTGGGCCGCCGCGTCCACGGCCGACTGTCGTCCGGCGTCAGCGGGCTCGGCGCAGTCTGCGCTCCGGGCGGACCGCGACCGCGGCGACCGAGCGCCGCCGCCGGCTTCCGAGGCGGCAGCGGCGGCGGCGCTCGGTCGGGCGTGGCGGCGCGGTCCCAGCCCCGGGCGAGTCCCTGCTTAGCTGGAGCGGCGGCCGCGTGGCGGCGGTCGGCAGCGGCGACGTCCGTGCGCCAGTATTGAGCGCGACGCTGCCGGCCGGCCGGCGCTGGGAGGTGCCGAATGGAGACGTGCGCTTCGAGAGTGGACGGGAGAGAGCTGGAATCAGGCTGTTCATTGACACATTTCGGGGGGATAGAGCGAACCGGGTCCGCTCATCCGCCGGCACTTGACTGGGGACTGATGCCCGCTGGCCTTGAGCGGGAGTCGCTCCCGCTGTTCGAGTGGAACGTAATTGTACCGTTCGCTTGCCGGAGATGACAGCGGATGGAGATGACAGACCATCCGACCGGGGCCTGGTCTGTCGTAAAGCAACGATCGTGAGCATTTATGGACATCGCGATCCAGGTTTCTTCTGCATTATCGAGCAAACTGAGTGGGACCCCTCGCAGCTGGGCCATGATGGCTTCATCGTGTGGTGCTCCACGGCCTTTCGTTACGCTCCCTTTGGCTGATGTGTAGTTTTACATGTCGAGGTCCCAGGAAGCGTTGAGAGATGCCAGCTCTGTATGCCGTTTGATTGCGGCCTGCGCTCGGCGCCGCCCTCCGTTCTCTGAGCCGACCGGTGGCGTCGCCGGCATGGGCCGCCTCTGGGGGCTGCTAGTGGCCTCCAACCCGGTGGACGAGTGCACACGCCCGTCCCCCGCGCGCCTGGTCCGTCCCCGCACGTCTCATCAGCCTCCCCCCGCCCGCGCGCCTCGTCCGTCCCCTGTGCACCTCGTCCGTACTCGCGCGCCTCGTCCGTCCCCCGCGTGCCTCGTCCGTCCCCCGTGCACCTCGTCCGTACTCGCGTGCCTCGTCCGTCCCCCGCGCGCTTCGTCCGGCCCCCGCGAACCCCGTCCGTCCCCCGCGGGCCTCGTCCGTCCCCGGCGTGCCTCGTCCGTCCCCGGCGTGCCTCGTCCGTCCCCGGCGTGCCTCGTCCGTCCCTCGCGCCCTACCGCCGAGCGGCCGTGATCTCAGGCGTTCCCCTCCGCCAAACTGCCCTGATCTCAGACGTGCCCCTTCGCCAAGCTGCCCTGATCTCAGACATGCCCCTCTACCGAGCGGCCCTGATCTCAGACATGCCTCTCTACCGAGCGACCCTGATCTCAGACATGCCTCCCCACTGAGCCCGTCTCATCCCAGCCATGCCCCTCGGCCGGCGTCGGAGGCCAGGCACGTCTGGTACAACCCTGCCCCGGATGCCCCAGTCATGCCGAACGGTGTTTTTGCCTGAGTGAAATGAAATGGTCAGATCACCGGCCCCTGCATTACTGAAGTGCTGCGGGTAACTGCAGTAGCGTATATAATGACCCCTTCCACACTGATGTGTCACGGATGGAGTAAATAGTCGGAGTATTGACGTCTCCCGGCTTGAGAGTGTCTGCGTAACGTTTCGGCCAGTAAACGCTCCGGTGGCGGTAAGGTGTTCATGAGACGCTCCGGTCGCGGTAAGGTGGTCATGAGACGCTCCGGTGGCGGTAAGGTGTTCATGAGACGCTCCGGTCGCAGTAAGGTGGTCATGAGACGCTCCGGTCGCGGCAAGGTGTTCATGAGACGCTCCAGTGGCGGTAAGGTGTTCATGAGACGCTCCGGTGGCGGTAAGGTGTTCATGAGACGCTCTGGTGGCGGTAAGGTGTTCATGAGACGCTCCGGTGGCGGTAAGGTGTTCATGAGACGCTCCGGTCGCGGTAAGGTGGTCATGAGACGCTCCGGTGGCGGTAAGGTGTTCATGAGACGCTCCGGTCGCGGTAAGGTGGTCATGGGACGCTCCGGTCGCGTAAGGTGGTCATGAGACGCTTCAGTCGCGGTAAGGTGTTCATGAGACGCTCCGGTGGCGGTAAGGTGTTCATGAGACGCTCCGGTGGCGGTAAGGTGTTCATGAGACGCTCCGGTGGCGGTAGGGTGTTCATGAGACGCTCCGGTCGCGGTAAGGCGGTCATGAGACCTGGACAACGGCTGGATGGTGTCCGCTTTCAGGCTTACGCTGTACGCTTCACAGCCTGAATTTTATCTGTCGTTGCTGGAACTCGAATCGGGGTATTTTTAATGAGGCCAGCTTTACACACTGAGCTAACCGGGAAGAACACATTGCCAGTCCCGTGGGAATTCTAACGTGCGCCTGGCGTGTCGCCCCCTGCGACCCCTGTGCTGACGGCGCGGCTTTCGTTTGTCTCATGGATGTTTCGGAATTTTTGCAAGAGCTGGCAGCCGTTTATAGACATCGCTCGAGCCAGGGTGGTGCCCCCCCCCCCCCCCCCCCGGGGCTTACCGGTGGGTTTGTTAGCCAGTGCCATGCTGCTGCCTCCTTGATCTGTCTTCTAATTTTCCAGCGTTTCTGTCTGTCGATGATGGGCGTCTCATCGCATGCTGGCTGGTGATTGCCTTCTGGCAATGTGTCCTCTGCCACGCCAGACTTCAGCGAGCCAGACGCAGAGTCTCGCCCAGCATGATACCGCTTCTGTGCGGTTCCGCCCCAAAGATCTGCCCTCAAGCGTTCCGTAATACCCCAGCGGCATTACGGCACTGCCTCAGTTCCGGGGCCGG